CTTGGTTGGAGGAGCAGCCTCGCTACCCGAGCCAACCTCAGCCTTGCGTTTACCACTACCTCTAGTCTTCTTTAGCTGAGAAAGTTTGGCTTGGGGCTCCGATGTGGATGGCTTCATCGCAGATGACCCTGAGAGCCCAAAACAGATAAGAACATATAAACAGAACGAAAGAAAAAGAAGAGAAGTTGGAAAAGGAAAAGTCAGGGTATACCAGCTGCCTCCTCCGCACTAACAACAAAGATGGGAATGGGAGCTTCTATCGTTACTTCAGGGAGACTAAACCCCTCCGCTACAAGAACTCAAGGTTTGATGAGCTCGGAATATCTCTCTGAGCTGCAACCCTCCAAGGACAGCAAAATTCGCTCGTCTGTAGCACTGAGTTCAGGGTGGATACCTAAGAAGTAGGGGCAAAATAAGCAAAAAGAGATCAGCCTAAAAATCCCTAAAATTGATACAAGTTCACTCAGAGGAGGACTTACCCAAGTTGTTTGGGGCTTTCCATACCCGAGGGATTGGAAGGGAATCTGAGTTATCTGTAGGATTGTACTCCCAGTGATTGACCCCCACGAAGAATAAAAGTTTTTTCCAGCCCTTGTGAGAGCTTGAGAGGTCAGAAATAATCGCTTTGGCTTTTACCCGTTTAGAAATATACAAGAAACCATCGGTAGGGGTGTAGTTAACATTGAAATACTCCATGAGCAAAGAGACTGTGGGAACCCCAAGCTTATGTTTCTTAAAGAAAACGAGGAGGCCCACCAAAACACCCTAGAAGTTGGGGGAGATCTGAGCACGGTAGACGTTGAAGAGTTGCAAAACACTCTTGATAAAGGGGGTGCATGGGAAAACGAAGGCGGCCACAACAAAATAGACCTTCTTATAGACTTGGGAGACGTATGGGGTAAATTTGTCTGGGCACCAATATTGGACGCCAGGAGGAAAACCAAAACGGGCACTAAGAACCTTCATAAGGGAAGGAGTGATCTCGCTGGAGCCCGCGAGCTCTGTAGTCCTAAAAGCAGCCCCTGCACCCTCAGCGTTGCCAGAGTCACTAGCATCGCCCACCTTGGCCTTACCTTTGTTAGGGTTTGTGGCGCAGGAGAGGCAGATGAGGGAATCTCCACAGGGTTTCCCTCAGTTTCAACAGAATCGACATTGGGAAATTTGTCAATCTCCTCTCCGACCTCAACTAAATCAGAATCCTCCTCAACCGATCTATTCCCCAGGGGGGAAACCGAGGAGGGGTTAGCTCCATAAGGGGCAGACATAGTTGGATAAGAAAAAAGGAGACTAAAGGTGCGATAAAAGGGAGGAATATTTGCAAAATACTCTTAGTAGGGGGAAACACAGTAACTACCAATAAGGAAAACCCTAGAGGTTGAATAAGGGTCTAAGAAGAGGGGAATACGAGACAAAGATCGACCTCGGTTCTTGAAATAGTAGAATCGAAAGGTCCAAAAATGCAACAACCACCTCAAATTTGAGGAGTCCAAGACGAAGAAGCACGAAAAAAAAGACAAGAAACGTACCTAATCCTTCGAAGCAAAGAACGAAGAAACAAACCTCTCTAAGCCTTCGGGTCTAATTAGAGGAAATCGTCTCTCTGCAAAAGCCCTAAGAACAGCAGCGGATTAGGGAAGATGAAGTCGCAAAGGAGAGAGGGAAAGCCAAAGAGAATTTGAAGAGTGAGGAGGGAGCTGTTGGTCCAGGGGTATTTAAAGCTAACGAAATTGGAGGCTTCGAAGTGGGCAACGTGCACGAAAAACTAGAAAGTAAAATGATTACCTGAAATCGTCAAAAACCTGTTCGCACGTAAATCGAGATCCATATCTGGAGGTCTGCCTTAATTAAGCCTCAGCTCAGCCCCTACCCAAGTTCACTTGGGCTAAGGGCTAGGGGGCAACTAATGATACCCAGAATAATTTCCAAGTATGAGTTTAGGAGCGGAGGTCAGACAAGCAAGTCAGACCAAGAGGTCAGGGAAGACACACAGAGCTTAGAAGATCAAAACTAGAGCTCCCCCCAGACGCGACAACAATGTAAATGATAAGGGAACAACTGGATGACAACATAAATCTTACAGGTGGCAAATAGCCATATTCAAGGCACAAAATTCTTGACCAGCCAAAATCCTCTCCTAATATCAAGGGGAGATTCTCAGATAAATGGCAAGGATCTCGGTGCAGATCCCACAAAACTAGGAACAGCCCTATAAATACTATGTAACGCCCCCAAGGGGGGGAGGGACCCCGAATGACATAGAATCGGTCTTGCAAACCTTTCGTATGATATATAAAGAACAAGAATAGTAAGATCCTCTATTAAAGAATGGATTAGCCGAACTCTCGAACTGGTGAACCACTATATATTCATTGTGTCAATCCCCCAATTCCCCCTCAATACTAGTACTTATTCTTTCGAGCCTTGCAGTTTAGATCCTAACAGTTATACACTGCTCATCTCATCTGTTCAATATCACAAAGTTGCGCCACATTGATTTACACCGTCAAAAAAATAATGATCTATTAATGAAGTTTTTGAAGATTTTTTGAACACTTTATTGAAAACTATAATGACACATATTTTTTAAGGGTAATGTAATCAATTAAAAAATTTCATAGTTTTTTCATATTTGGGGAAATTAGGAGATTTAAATACATAAAGATATGATTGTAATTTATATAGTTAATTATGGAAAGATAATGTGGTATTTAAAATTATTTATAAGGATAAAATAATAAATCAAAAAATTTTCATTCAAGGTGTTTTTATTAGTAATATAGATATAGATATATCTTCGAACCAATTATGTGAGCGGGTATATTTTATATTTATACCACTTATAAATGTCTGCATCTGCGAAATACTTTTGATTTCCTATTTTATTTCTAATTATTATTTTATCCACCTATATATTTTTATTTAATTATGTTTTTTTACACCTATTTGACTTTCAACTTGTTTTGGACTCTTGTATAAGATCTTCTAAATTCTTTTGAACCAATTTATTAGTAATACAATTAATTATAATTATTTATATCTATATAAAGAAGTAAAATCCTATATATGTTAAATTATTATACACATGTAGTTATCAGATTGAATTTCATTGTCTAATATATATTATATTGTATTTTTCATATGTAATAATATAATAATATTATAAACGATCTACTCAATCTATTTAATAAAATAAAAATTAGTAATTGTATAATGTATTCTATATATATTATTATTATTTTAAAATATTAGCATACATGAAAAACATTTTTTTTTCAACTACTACCCTCCAAAACTAAAATTATGTCATGCTTTCCCTCCACATTTAATTAGGTCATTTCAACCGACTCTGTTGATGCTACTTGCTTTGGCGTTTGGCGTCCACAATGGTATCCGGTCATCTCTCTTTCATTCAATAGTAAAAGCAATCGATTGAGTTCTCCTCCTTCAATCACTGGTGCATAACCTCTCACAAATGTGTCTCCTTTATTCTCTCTTGTAATAATAAGCAATTTATCTTTGTGGCTCTATATATTCTAGGAATTAATGGTTCAAGCAGCAATGCCTCTCTTTCTCTCTCAGGCACACATCATCAGTCTTGACATTGTAGAACAAGCGGTGACCTGCTTCAACAGGTACTTTTTTTTTGTTATAAGATTTGTGTTCTTTTGTTTGTTTTTTTATCGATGATTGAATACATAAACAAATTTGGAATTCTCAAGCCACTTCCATGGAACAAGATTGTCAGAAATCTTCTAATTTTCAGTCACAAATTAGAAGAAAAGGAAGAATTTAGTGACGGAACCATTATTACTCATGCACGACTGTAAAATTGATGGATTTATGGGTAAGAGTTGCTTATGGTGTGAGTCGTGAGGAAGAAGAATCAGAGAGAGAGAGAGAGAGGAATTGCTATGCCGTGAGGAAGAAGAAGAACAGAGGAGGGGGGAAAATCAAACAAATGGTTCTATAGATAGGAATTGTTTATGGTGGTGAGAGAGAGAGAGGCTGCTTGTGGCTTGAAGAAAAGGAAGAGCAGTGAAATGGTTATGTGGGTAAGAGAAGTGTAAGGTACCAAAAAAAAAAATTCAGTATCTTACCGTTGTTTATAAGTTTAGTGAGTTTTTTTCATAAAATTTGAGAGTCATTTATAAATTTTGGAAATCATTTATAATCTTTGAGGGTCATTTATAACTTTTGAGAATCAATTATAATTTTTGAGTGTACATGGGATCGCTTTTAAAAAATTTATGATCAATCCAAATAACCCTCAAAAGTTGAGAATGGACTTCCCAAAAGTTATAACTTAGACCACAAAAGTTGTAAATTGTTTTGTTGTGAAGAAATCCAAAAATTTGTGTCTGGCATAGGAAGGCTGCAACATTTTGTCCTCTAATTTGTAGCAAAACACTGCATGCTGCCTTGCCAAAAGATTACGTGGGGGTATGTATTGTGTCAGTTGGAATATGTAACTTGTAACTTGCTACATATTCTCAGAGAGCTATTGCGGTGCATAGGACTCTAAAAGTTTAAAATGCAGGTCTGCATCTAGGAAGTTTGTCTGAAACAAATTAATATATAAACTCTGTAACTGTAATTTAAGACGAAAATTCCATCAAATCATTGATTCTCTATTTTATGTTAAAAATAGCCTATGATTTGCAAGAGCATGTCCTTTCTCTCCTCAGGTATCTGTCTATATCAATCCCTAAATAAATGTCAATAAATTAAATTATTGTATTACACTTCATCTAAATATGGACAATAGTTGAGTAAGCTTTTGATATTTTCATACTAAATATCTACATTATTGCAGTTGCCAAAAACCGAGACGTGGTCATTGTGCGGTCAGCCAACGATAAGCTCTCTTCTCCCTTGTCTCTCAAATTTTTTTTTGTTGCTACATAAACACAAACAGAGTCCTCCTCTGTTCTTCCCCAATCACTGTAGTCGACAACCGCCGAGCATCTTATTATGTAAGCTTTTTCTCTCTTTGATCATTGTTATGCTATTTCTTTACTTTCTCTTGAAAATTTGCCCCTAATGAAGGATACCTATGTTATAGATTGACCGTTGTCACTTCAAAATATGTCAGGATTGCTTGTTTTAATAAGAAAAAATAACATTACTTTGTCGTTGCTGTTGTATATAACAATTTTATACTAAATTTTCGTTACCATCCTTGGAGTGGCAATCTCTTTCAGTGCCTTCATTGCTGAGTCTACAAAAGCTTGAGCCGCTTCTACGTCAGTGTTTTCTGCGTCTGCCACCCTTGCTGCCTCTTTAGCTTCTGCCGTAGCAACAGCTTGAGCAGCAGCTGTAGCAACCTCTTGTGGAGTCATACTCCTCATCTTGGATAACTCCAGATCAATGTGTGATTTGATAACATTATTAATATCATTCCCATTAGCTTTAGGAGAAGCCCTCTGCTGCGTTCCCTCCACAAGTAACAAGGGGGGTGTCTTTTATTGTCAGATAACCTTGAAGTTGGCAAAGTTTTGTAGTTATGTTTCATCTGCAAAAACAATAACAAACCCTAACATTCAAAACCCAGAAGCATATAAATTTAGAAAATAAAAAAAAATAACTCTTAGAAAACTTTACTCGTTCAAAATGTCTTTAAGGCAAATCAAGATACAACTATGCTGCCATGTTATGATGACTCTTGGTAATGATAAAAGGTATAAAGATCTTAAGTGCCTTTGAGGCAGAACAAAATAACAAATGCGGAGTTGAGTCATCGAGGACAAGAGCATGTTTTAATTGACTTCAGCAGAAGATTGAACATAAAATCATTTTTGCTTCTTCAACATGCGCTCTAGCCATTACAACTAAGCCAAATATAAACTCAATTCTCCATTTCTTGCATGGTAAGGTGTTATCATTTTCAATGACACCAACTCATGTGCTCCTGGCTTAGCATGATTTCTATTAGTGTGGTATGTTTAGCCTTCAGTACATGTTCCTCTATTTCCTCTATATTTTCCACAGATTTAAATCACTAATCTTTTAAGTTCATTAGTGGTTAGTTTCTTCAATGTTGCACCTTATTTTAGCAATTAGAACTTCCAGATATAGTTTAGGAGGGTGAGAAATTATTCTGATATCTTGTGTCAGGTGTTCATAAATGCTTTAGTTGAGCCACACCAATATATGCAGGCCCTATTCACAAGTTCAAGCATGGATTCTTTTCCTATCAAGAGGTTCTGTCAAAGAATTTGTACTTGAAATATGGAAGGGACATCGTTACAAGCAAGGAACGAAATATCGTGTCGAAACATCCGAAACATCTGAAACGTTTCGGAATTTCAACACACCGACACGAAATAGGAGATGAATACTAAAATTCCAATGTTTCGTTCGAATCGGCAGTATGTCGGACCGTTTCGGTCGAAACGGTACAGATTCAATGTGGTTCACTCCAGGTAAAAAAAAAAAACAAAACAAAAAAACAGAGATGCTATAAAACAGATTCTTTTCACATGTCAGTCAGAATTCACAGAGAAAAAACACAGAAATCACATGAGATACAAAAAGCAGATTTCTTCCACAAGTCAGTCAAATTTCACAGAGAAAAAATCGGGAATAAAACACAGAAATCACATAGTCCAAGTCTTCCAAGCAAAAAAAAAAAAAAATAGACAGAAGAGAGAGAAAAGAGACTGTCCAGGAGTCCAGGTTCAGGCAAAAAAAAACAAACAAAAGAGAGAGGGGAAAGGCACCACAGGAACTCGAAGAGACAGAGAAATTGAAGGAGAAGACTAGAGGAACTAACCTTGAGTCCAGATTTGAGCAGATTCAGCCATTTTCGGGTTTTCCACGCAAATCTAAGGCTCGAATTTTCCACGCAGAGCCTTCTTAATCGCTGCGACCACGAGCCCGAGGTATCTTCTTCTTCTTCCTCTCTTTCTTTCTCTCTCTCTCCGGCTTCGGCTTTGGCATCAGCATCACGATCGCGATCACGATCGCTTCTCTGTGTTTTGTCCGAAGTCGTCTGTGGTGTGAGTGGTTTGTCTGAGTCGTTTATGTCATCTGCCTTATATATATCTATATATATATATATATATATATATATATATATATATATATATATATATATATATATATATATATATATATATTTTGTTACATGTATGAATAATTATATTTAATACCCCTTATAATTATATTTAATACATACTGTAATTACATTCAATACCCAACAGTAATTACATATAATAGTTAATACGCATTGAAATTACATTTGATATATACTGTAATTATATTTACCACTCTACTGTAATTATATTTAATAGTTAATGCCCATTGTAATTACAATTGATACCCACTGTAATTACACTTGATACCCACTACAATTATACTTGATACCTCACTACAATTACATTTAATAGTTAATACCCACTGTAATTACATTTAATATCCCACTGCAATTACATTTACCACCCAACTGTAATTATATTTAATACCCCACTGCATACATAAGTACCATTAATTTAATTTGATACCCTTCATTATTTTTTTTATTTTTGTAATTATTCTTTTATATTATTATATTTTAATTAAAAGTGTTATACATGTCATATTTAATTTTTAGAATTAATTTAATATATTTAATAACGTAATGATATTCATTGTAGATATGACATCAAAAGGAAAGAATGTGGCTACTGAATCATCGCAGAAAAAAAAAAAAAAATGTGATATTGGATGGAATTACGGCGAACGAATTGGGGATAATCGACAACATGTAATGTGTAATTTTTGCCATAAAAAAATGATGGGTGGCGGTGTGTCACGGTTAAAGCAACACTTGGCAGGCGGTTATAATAATGTGGAACAATGTGATAAGTGTCCTATTGAAATTGCGAAAGCTATGAGGGATTACTTGAATCGCAACAAGACTGAAAATGCAGAAGTGACTGGTGAACGGAGAAAAATGAGACATAATTTAATTGGTGGATCGAGGCGGAGGAGTGGTATCGAAATTTATTCTTCCGATGAGAATTCAGATGATGATATGGATATAGAATATAGAGATGATATTGAGTATGCAAAACAACAATCTATTCGTGATATACATATGGCCGAGCAAGGCTTTAGAGGAGGAAGTTCTAGACCATCTATCCAAAAAAGTGGTATATCTAGGGGTTTAATGCGCTCACATAGTGTGAAGGAATCTTGGATAAATTCTCAAGAAAATCACAAAAGTGGATGGGCAGAGAAAAGGATCTCACGATAGAAGAGATGGATCCTTCGATGTATCGGAATAGGGAAGTGAAGCAAGTCAAGCTAACTCATATGTGGAATCCCAAAAAGTGGGCAAAGTCGGCAAAACATGCTATTGCAAAGTATTTCATTTATGAGAATATTCCACCAAGCAAAGCTCAAGGTCATTTTTACCAATTGATGATTGATGAAATTGCTTTAGCTGGAGTGGGTGTGAAAGGCCCAACCCCATATGAGATTGGCGGACCATTGCTAGATAATGAGATAGATGAGCTGAAAGAGTACATTGACCAGTTCAAAAAGAAGTGGGAGATTTATGGAGTGACAATCATGTGTGATGGATGGACATCCACCACAAGATTATCTATCATTAACTTCTTGATATATTGTGATGAAAAGTTATTTTCCACAAGTCAATTGATAGTTCTGGTCATGACAAGGATGCTAATTATATTTTGGGGTTGATGGATGCTGTTGTTGAAGAGATTGGAGAGAAATATGTGGTTCAGATTATTACAGACAATGGCAGTGCGTACAAAAAAGCTGGTGAAATGTTGATGGAAAGAAGACCACACCTATATTGGACTCCTTGTGCTGCCCACTCTCTAGATTTGATTTTGCATGATTTTTTCAAGATTGAAACGGTTCAAAATGTACTAGAGCAAGCTAAAAGAGTGACAAATTTTATTTATAATCATAATAGAGTCTTGGATATAATGAGAACATTTTGTTCGGGGAATTGATTCGGCCAGGGCAAACAAGATTTGCCACTAATTATATTGCCTTACAAAGTATGTTGGAGCAGAGAAATGGTTTGCAAAGGATGTTTACTTCAGAAGATTGGTCTAGGACTGCGGCAGCAAAGGATCCAGTTGGAAAGCGAGTTCAAGGGACAATTCTAAATCCTAAATTTTGGGAGACCGCCAAAAATGTGTTGAATATGCATACACCTATTGCAAAAGTTCTAAGAATGGTGGATGAGGAAAGAAAAGCAACAATGCCATATGTATATGAAGCAATGAAACGAGCAAGACAAGCTGTCAAAGATGCGGCTCCTAAATCGTGCAAAAAATATCTTGACATCATTGATGCTCGATGGAAAAAACAAATCATTCAACATATTCATATGGCAGGTAAACTTATTGTTTATCAATTTATATTTTTATTATTATAGTGTTATCATTTTGAATGTTATCATTTATAAGTGTTATCATTTTTATATTGTGTAGCTTATTACTTGAACCCCACATACCATTATGAAGAAGATGGTGGTATTAGAAAATTTCTTGGGTTCGCTTCGGATCGTTGTGTCTAGACTAGAAACAAATCCAAACAAGGCTGCTGAAGCACTTGCAGAGGTAATACTTTAGTATTTCAATCTCAATTTACAAATATGCTGAATTAATATATAACATCAATATACCCATGATATTTAGGTAAAAATATTTCGGGAGGCTATGTATTGTTTTGCTGACCAAGCTGCAATTAGAGGAAGAACAAAAAGTGATCCAGGTAATTAAGTAGATTATTTACACTTTTATATTTTATTCTCATGATTTTCTATTTATATTTTTCTTTAAGGTTTTAATATGTTTTTATTATTATGCAGCTGAATGGTGGTTTATGTATGGCACTGATGCTCCAAATTTGAGAAAGATTGCTATGAGAATATTGTCGCAAACAGCTTCATCTAGTGGTTGTGAGAGAAACTGGAGCACATTTGCTCTCATTCACACTAAAGTGCGGAATAGACTCAATTATCAAAAATTAGAAAGGCTGGTGTTTGCACAATATAACATGAGGTTGAAGTTAAAGCACCTTATGAAGGACAAAAAAGGGTATGAATTCAGACCTATAGATTAACCACTATTTTTGACGAAGATGAAGGTATTTCAGAGTGGTTAGATGATTCTGGTGATGCACTTTTAGATGAACTTGATGATGATGGACAATCAACAAGACCAAACACTTTCCTATAGATGTGGGCAAATCGTTTTTCCGATGACGATGGAGGAGTAGGCCTAAGTCAAGGTGTTGTGCCACCACGAAAATCAAGATTCAAAATAAGTAGAGGAGGATCAAGTAAAGCAATGGATGATGAAGAGTTTGACAGACTAATGAGAGG